TTATTCTAGGAGCTTTTTTATTATAGATCAGAATCGGGTGACCACTGAGAAGGCGAAACGTAAAGAATACGATGTCGAGTGAAGGATCGCATAAAGTATGGCCAACACAAGGTAAGTTTGCAGTCATTTCATTGGTAGCTTGTATTAATTTTCTTTCCTGCCCATAACACAAAGCCTGGTTACTTGCTACAGAAGTTGTGCTTTTAGTGTATAGCTATTTTCGTTTCTGAAACCATTGTTTAGAGCGGCGCATTCCCACTTGTTACTAAAGCAATCCAGAAAGATCTAGAAGCTTATCAAAGCAGTGAATACGAAATCAAGCGACTGGAGCATGCTATGGTAAGTCAATATCGCAAAGTTCGCCTTCCTACTATGTTACCCCTTTTCTGTGGAAAGCTTAATCTTTTATTCTATTTTTTTTTTTGGTTTTACTTTTCTTTTTGCGGACCTTCGGTTGTGCTGTATTATGAATGCTCTATAAATATACACAGCTTGTATCTTTCATGTGCTTTTTATCCTGCTCCAGGAATGGTTTTTTAAGGCATGGAAGCAACGAAGCACATGCTGCCATGACATTACAAGTGAAACATCTCTTCGAGAATGGCATAGTTCAAAGTGTACTTTCCCTACTTATTCCAGGTAACCCGGAGACTTTGTCATTTTACATTCTATATCCATCTCATCGTGCTGACATCTAGTCGGTGGAGCACATTCTGCCTGAGACTGCTTACAACAAAGAGTATCTGGCTGATCTTATGGACTGCCTTCATATGATGAGAAATGTCGCAATTGCTGGTATCTGCACCATGAAAAGGTATTATTTTGAGTAATTTGTTGGAAGTCAGCCTGACCCTGAATTTAGAGAACCTTCTTGGACTGTCTCATGGTGCGAACTCATCCTGAGCTCTTTTGCGCAGAAGATGCTAATAGTAGATATACCGATACGCTTTTCATTGAGCAACAACTGTAATTCATTTTTTGCGTCTTCATCGAAGTTCCGGTAATTGTGATATCTCTAGCGGTTGGTCTATCAAGGCAATGTCTGTTACAATCGTGATGCAAGACACTCGTCATAAAAGTTACCACCTGAATATCATTGACACAGCGGGTGCATTCTATCATATATGGTTGTGGATTGTCATGTTATTTCACCACAATTCTGCTTATTGTAGGGCATGTAAACTTTTCAGATGAAGCCACTGCATCTTACCGTTTCTGTGATTGTGTCATCGTTGTTGACGCACATGAGGGTGTAAGTGAAAAATTGACTCAGTTATCCTTCTTCACGTTTTTTTTTCTGAGAGTTTTTGTCAACTAAAGCTGAATAATTCAGAAATTTTATCATTCTGGATTTCGTGTCGTTCAGGTAATGACGAATACCGAGCAAGTAATTCGCCGTTCTGTGCAAGAACGTTTGCCACTTACCCTTTGTGCAACGAGATAGTCGCTTGATTCTGGAACTGAAGATGCCTCCCGCTGATGCTTATTACAAACTGCGGCTGGTTATTGACCAAGTGAATGCTCTGCTCCAGTTAGTAATTCAGCTTATTTTCAAATCATTTATGTATATGGTCTACACTTTTCAGGACATTCTCCGAAGAGGAATATACTATGTTGTCGCCTTTGCTAGAGAATGTGATCCTCGCATGTGGCCGCTACAAGTATGCTTCTCGCTTCTATCTTTTGCAAACGTTTATGCAGATCGTTATGGTAGGTAAAATAGTACAATTTGAATTCTCGTAATTTGAAAAATTGGCGGCAGCCGCTAACTCAGGCGGCGGCCGCCGAAGTCCGCTGCAATTTGCGGAATTTTCGCCATATCTCGGTTCGGA